TTGGTTGTTTATATTATTTTAAGTGAATTTAACCTTCAAAGTTTACCAAAATGTAAAAAAATGTCATTCAAACTGCATTACTTTTCACTTATACTTTTCACTACATTACTTGAGTACATCTATTTTTACAGTAATTCTTATACTTAAGTACAAGCCATTCAGATACTTTAAGACTTTTTCTCCAGTAACATTTCAGTAACTTGGACTTTTTACCAAAGTCATATTTTGGAGACGTACTTATACTTTTACTGGACTCCAACATTTCAGTACTTTATACAACACTGATGTGGAGCTTTGTAGTTTTTTTAGAAACTAAAAACTGCAAAAGTCTGTTTTTCTGCTGGCTGTCAGTCATCCATCACTTCTCATTGCAGGCATATCAGAAATGGGTGCGAGAACACGGTCCGGAGCGGCCCCTCCCTGGCCTGAAATACACCCACGAACAGCTGCTCTTCATCGCCTTCGCTCAGGTACAGAAGCTCCTCGCAAACATCCGCAGCTCTGCGGCATTTGCATTTTAAATGGCATCAGACGCGACTCGGCTGGAGCTGGAAGGTGGAGGGCAGGTTGGAGGCGTCGCATACCCGCATTAGCTGATGGATGCGCGCAGCATTAGTGGGATCAAACGAGCGGAGTGTAGATGACAGCGCAGTGGCTCCGAGCGCCACGCCACCCTTGATCCTTCCAAGTATTACGAGTCGTCATTGAAATTCATGGCCTAATGGAACCCAGGCTGGAAACATTTAAAATGCAACGTGGTGTTTTTGAGCCGGCTGCCCTGCAGGGATTGTTCTGAAAATCAGGAATATGTTCTTACAATCATTGGATATGTCATATGTGAGCGTGAATGAGAACCTTGAGGCGATGCAGTCACCTCCACTGAGATGAATACGGCCCTCAGCTGCACAGGGGGCCCACAAACATCACTCAGACGTTATGAATATTAAGATATAACTTCAAAAACAAAAAGGTGGGAGAAGTGGCTTCATCACAGACAAATATCACAATATTAATCACTATATGCTTTAATGCTGAGTGTTACTGTCTGAACACTGAAATAAGAGACAAACTAAAATATGAAAAGATGAAGCAGAGGCATGTTAGATCCCCTTCTTTATTAACCCTTTAAGCCCAGATGGTCTAAGGAGCAAATTCTGCCTGAAAATCCATCTGGGATTTAAAGCAAAGCTTCCAAACTAGAAACTAGAAATACAATTGTTTGTATTTGTGTGACTGAAAGGCGTTTAGGAATATTTTTCAGGTGGAGCCACTATTTTAAATGTCACTATGTCTGATTTATAGGTGATTAAACAAAGAAAAAATGAAAATTTTGCTTCCAAAATAAACACTGAAAAACACCATAAAGCCCATTAGAATCTCTGGATTTAGACTCAGACTCTATAGATCTACATCTTGGTTAGAATTCTGTCATGAGGCGGTGTTGGATTGAGGACCCAAATGCAGA